GGGGGGGGGGGGGGGGGGGGGCAGAGACAGAGAGAATCAGCACAAAGCCTATTTAAACATGTCTGAAAGGCCTTGCTGTCCCATTATCTCTGGGGAGTACAAACACACAGCATTCCCACTGTAGTAGAATTCCATTACACTTCCAGGAGAGTTGGGTTGCCTCCCAGAACAGAAAATGTTGATCTTTCCTGCACTGTTTTGTTTAAAGGATTAAACAGCCCAAATACAACTGAACTAACTAGAGAGAATGCAGGAAATAAAGCTGATGAGTGAGTGAAACCACTTTTAAACTAAACTCTGGTCTCATCTTAAAAAGTACCACCAATTCCATAATAGTCCCTGCCAGCATTACACACGTCCAGATGCTTCAACGGCTACCAGTCACACTTCAGACCTTAAAATATAATCACTCTAAAATGTTGTAAAGGGTTCATTTATTTCTGTAAAGCTAAAGTACTTCTTGCTGATTAAGATTGTCAACACACAGCAGATCTCTTAATCATTTTTACAAGAGATAACACAGCTTTGTCTGGATTCATTTTTCATCCAAATTTTCTGTAGAAATTCTTGTATCAAATGTAGAAATAGAGAATGATTTCTAGAGATCTGGTGTGTCTTGATATTTGAACATTCACAGTAGAATATTTAGGGCTGTACACGACACTGGCCTCCGTTAAATATCACTCTTTTTCACTTCCATCACAGACTCTGTAACTGAAACTGTAAAGTTTCCAGCCCGCCATGCTTTCCCTCATTGTACAATAATCCAGTTAAAAAGTGTTATTCCACTGACAAAATGCAACTCAGAGTCTTCTTGACAAATAAGATGAGATGGGTAAAGCTACCATACTGCAAATCATATGAACAGCTTGGCAAAAAAGCAAGATTACCTCTGGATAGAGATTGAATCTCTTCAGTGTGTTAATAACCAGAGGGTACTCTGTCAGCCGATCGTTCATGACCATGTGGAGGCCATCCAGGAAGGAGGGGGCCTCAATAATGGTCTTGTAGTAGGAATAGTACAGGCCCTGGAACCAAAAGAAGATGCATACACTTAAATAAACTCAAACTGAAAAAAGAAGTTAAAAAGAGGAATTTCGAGGAAGAATGGCAGAGAGAAGACCAAAACGACAAACAAAGAAAAAAATCTGACTTAGAGAGAAGGAACAGAGTGATGCAGAGAAAAACAGACAGCAGACAGACACTAAATATAACTCTACGACATAAAACTCAAGACAGAAAACATGAACTAGTTCTACGGGCTCGGCAGATGGCAACAGCTCACAGCCCATTTGGTAGCACGCAGCAGGGGTGAGAGAAAGAAAAAATATTCTGTTTGCATATGATTAAAATGTCACCTTCAGTGTCAAATCTCAAAAGGGCACGAAGCTCGTGCTGCATGTTAAATATCAACAACTTCTACAGTGTTATAGTGACGATGATGGGGGGAATGCATAAACATATGCTGCTTTAAATGACATGATTTTGTGCCGGCGCAGCTGCCTTTGCACTGATAAAGACAGAAAGTGACTGAAAACAGAAACAGAAATCGGAAAAGCTCCAACACTTTGATGTAACAATATTGTTTACAACACTGTGGGAGGATATTAGATTGTCTCTGAATGTGCAGATGATATGGAGTCACAGGAGTTAAGGTACAGTCTGATTACACTTGTGCCCAGCGAGTGTTGATTTCGACAGAAGTCTGTACAGCTGACACAACCAAGCCCTGCCTTTCATGTTGTGATCTGTGTAACTCTGGCAAGCGTGCAGGGCAGAGGTCACCTTCGTTCAACTATGCCACAGATGCAGCGTTTGGAGATGTCAGTGTCATTATTCTACCGCTGCAGAGAGAGAGGCAGAACGTTAATGTGACAGCACCAGTTTATGACGATTAGGGCTGCAACTCACAGTCTTTGTCATTAATCTGACTATCATCATTTTAATTAATCGATTCATTATTGGTTTATAAAATGTCAAAAAATAGGGTCTGTGTAAGCGCAAGGAGCTGTCCCCAAAACACTTGTTAATGCCAAAGTTGCTTTCTTAGAGAATCTTCTGTTTTACTATTCTCAAATACAATTTAATTACATACAATTACTCTAATAATTGACCCATTTGACCCATTCATCATTCCAGCTCACATTTGAGTAATATGAGGACTTGCTGCTTCTCTTCGTTTTATATGACTATAAATTTAACCCCAAAAACTCTGTTTAAGAAATCATTCTCCAGGACCTTTCCAGTACATCTTCCAGGAGTTTTCTTGACAATACAGGACAGCACTTGTTCACAAACTGTCATATAATTAACCAGTAGGCCTAGTACTGACACATTTGCCTCAGTTTTATTCCTCCTTTTTTCATTATGCAACAACTCAGGTGTAGGTAAGTGGTCAGCATTTACACAATAGCTCGCTTTCAGCTGTCTCTGGTTATTTGCCTACAGTTTACCTCTAACCTAGGTTTACATAGTTGATCTTAGTGAGAGGCTAAAACACAATTCAAGTTTTTTCTAGGAGCGTAGATTATTTCCAGGATATTTGGCCATTTTAATCAATTTCTATGAGTGGGAACCCTGAAAACTACAACACAACAATGAGTCATGAAGTGTAGAAGGGAACTGTGAGAATATATCATGATCTTCCTTTCAAAACAAGCCTATAAGATTACTACAAAACTTCTTTTGTACAAAAGCTCAAACATGAATATTAGTGCACAATATGGTAAAAACATCACATTGTGATTGTTTTGACAGATACTGTGATTCACCATTATGTGGGAATGATCCGTTTTGCATTACACTTTGATCATTTTTGATTAAAATCATCATGTTTTGACATTTTTGGGGGGTTTGTACCAAACACACGTTTTCTTAAATCTGGAGAACAACACCTGTACCTCTGCAGCAGCACAGCACTTCATTACAACGCTGCTTGGTCACACATTATACCTTTATCAAAACAT